CTACAGTTATATGACAACAATAATAATATTTATGATATTTGTAATATTATGAATATATATTTTTGTATAAAGTATTTATGAAAAAATTGCTGTAATATTTATGAATATTAATAATACGTATGAAAAAATTACTATTTTTATTATAATTAAAATGAGATTTTGGAAATCGTATAAATCTCTAAAGTGTATTTAACAAACACTAACGTGTAATATAAATGTTGTTAAATATACATATTATATATTTGCTATTAAATCATTATAATTTTAGCACAAAGTGACATACTTCACCACAGATAAATAAAGTATCCAATATTTTTATCAAATATTCATATTTTTGTTAGTTTTACCAATCAATCCTTTAATTAAGACTATTTGAAAAAAATTATTTTTAATTGTACAAAATGATATAATTTATAATTTAATCGCAAAAGTTTGATACTTTGTTTGTGCATAATATTAATCTGTTAGATTATCAAAAAGTGTGTTCATTTCTTAAATATTTAAATTTACACTGTGATTAAATTTATTTCTTATCATAGCATTGTAATCGTTTTTGGCTTAAGCAAACAAACAAATGCAGGAATAAATTATTGCAAGTAGTCATTAATGTATACAAAATTATACAAAATTAATAGTGACATACTTTAGTCAAACAAAATATAAAAAATTAATAACTTAATTAAAAGTTATGAATTGGATATGCATAAGCTACCTCAATAGTCAGGAATGTCAATTTAGGAGATAGAAAATCCTTTTTTTGCTTTAGTGACATTTGAATAATTATAAGTTTTTGTTTGCTTTTATTAAAATTAATAAATTTAAATATAGTTTTAATTGTACAAAAAAAAAAGCACACACATTATTTTGTTCGCAAACGCTTATCACTGCTTGTAGTGATATCAGTGAAAATTCTGATAGCGCAGTCATTCTTATCATTTGAAGTCATTTTTCCAACAAAAATTTTGTATTATTATCTCATCGCATTCTTACTGTAAATAATTTTTCGAAAAATTACGAATTTATTGAATTAATAGCTTCTAATTAATAATTAAAAAGATAAGATATTGAATATTGTAAACTAAATAGTATTTAATTTATTGCATAGATATTTTTAATTTTTAATTTAACTTCTAATATTTTTAAAAATTAATAAGGCTAATTTGAAACTTCATTAAATAAAATTTGAGAAAATATTCAAATAAAAACTCAATTATTATATCAGAATTTACTACTTTGAAAATAATTTAATTAAGTTAAATACCCGACTAATTTAGAAAATATTTTGTACTGTCTGTCATTTCAATTTGAAATATATATGCAATTGTGCTGTGAGATAATTTAAAATTTTGAAGTCAATTTTAACCAAATTCAAAAATTCATAAATTATTATTTGCATTGGCTCTGTTTTGGTAATATTTTACCACCTGTTTTGTTATTAAATATATTAAACTAAATATTAGTGTGAATTACTTTTCTATGTTAAAAAAGTACAAACTATTTCTTTTTTCTGATTTTAAGCAAACTATTCACTACAATCTTTCGAATATTAAACAAATTTATAAATCAATCGAAAATGATTTTAATAAAAATAAAAAATAGATCAACACAAATATGTCACTTTGCACTAACTTAATTCGTCATTTTTCTCTGATATTCAAATTTTTAGTGCTTATCTATGTGTAAAACATAAAAACAGCAATAATATTACTAATAATATTAAATATTATTTAATGATAATTGTTTAATAATGTATAATAATGAATATTGTTTGTTTCATTTCTTGTAGAAATTATGCTAAATATTATTATACGAATTATATCAGTGTTAGCAATATTTTTCGCTATTTGCACTGGGCTGAAATGTTTCGTTGGTCGAGAATTCATCGGTGCTCTCGGCAATGGTGGATCATTTTCTGAAGTTCTATGTCCAGTGGGCTCATCCTTCTGTGTCAAACGTCATTTTGCTATACAATGTAAACTAAATATTATTTAATTTTTTTCATATAAATTTTTAATTTTAAGTTTCATTTCTGATATTTTTAAAAATTAATAAAGCTAATTTAAAACTTCATTGAATAAAATTTGAGAAATATTTATTATCCCTTTTAATAAATTTGAGAAAATATTCAAATTAAAACTCAATTATTATATCAAAATTTCTACTTCATTAGTAAAGAACATAATAACTATAAAAGTTTGCTTTTCCTTATTTTTTTATTAATTTATAATGAATTTTAATTATAGATAATGAAGACATTGTTGAAAAATTGTGCGATCAGCACACACTTTGCGATGTAAGTTTACAGATTTAATTCATTCAGTAATTAAGGACTTAATCCGTTTAGTAATTTCAAAGTTGAAAAATTTTTACAGGCAATAAATTTTAAAGTTTTTAATTTATAAATCTAAAATTAAATCAAAGATTTATATATTTTATACTATAAACAGAAGATATTATCTGCTGATATTAAGTAATTTTACAAAATCAAATCAAATTTGAATATGGAATAATAAACTTGCAGGATATAAGAGGGTGTCATTATGATGGGTCATCAAATTATGAGATTTGTTGTTGTGATAGTAATTTTTGCAATACTGCTAACTTTTCTCGACTATCCATGACAATCACAATTTGTATTATTGTTTTATTTACTCTGCTTCAAGAATTGCTGTAAACAAAAAATTTGCATATACTAGTAGTTTCAAATTAATTACTTATGGCGGTGTCGAAAATTTATATTACCTGGCCTATTTTGTTACTGTACTTGACACAAAAATATGAAAATAATAATTTTAATTATTATTTTACAAATATTGCCCTGCATAATAAATGTAATTTAAAAAGTATTAAATTAATAAAATATTACAAGTATAATAAAATATTCATTTGATATATTTGAATTCATTGTATGCATATCACGCCTCAGCCCAATTCATCTTAACAATATTACTCTATTATTATTTTTTCCTAATAATAAAGGAAAAACATTAATTCATAAGCTCTTAATTACTATTTATATTTTAAATTATATTAATTTCACTTAGTGTTAAATTGGAATTGCTAAAAATGATGAAAATTAAATACTTATTAATTAATTTTTACAGCATAGCGGTAGCGGATGTTACTACGATCCGAATAATAATTCCGAGTTTTGTTGCTGTAATAAGGATGGTTGCAACGGTGCTGATACCATAGTACGTAATGATAAAATTTTTCTTTTCATGATTATTATTCTGCATGTATTATTATTAACCTAAAATAATTATTATTTATTTAGAATTAAAAGTTATTATCGCTAATTTGCCAGTATGAAAATCTCGAAGACTTTATTGTTAATTGCTGAGTGCTTAATTTTGGTATTATTAACTTCTCAAATTTAATTTCAGAAAAAAATGTTTACGCTTTTTCGAATTAAAATTGCATGGAGTTTTACATATTTGCTTATCAAATAGTAAATAAGATTGCTGAAAATTCAAATGTTTGCATAAAAAGTACTCAAATATGAATAATCAAATTTGAACTCCAAGCAATTAATGAATTTTTGAATTTGAATTAATCATTTTTGATAATTCTCATTGCAAACATTTGCTACTATAGCATTAATTGTTATATAATTGACGAAAATTCTGAAAAAATTTATCATTACTATTGTATATTTAATAAGCTATAAATAATGATGTTATAAATATTATGCATTTGTTTTTTTT